CAGACCCTTAAAAAACTAGCTTGTCAACCCTGAAAAGTCAATGTAGAGCATAACTGCAAGAACTGTGGCTCCTGGCAAGTCTAAGCGAGAGACACCTATAGAAGAAAAAGTCAGGTCCTGAGAGGGAATGGTTTTTGCTTAGTAGCATGTATGTGTATACTGGACATGTGTATATCTGTGTGTGTGTGTGTAGATATGTTTACATCTATGTATATATATAATACATGTATGTTTATGTATATACATAAATCATGCCCACACATACATATGTACACATACACATAAATATCATATATTCACAGCAGGAACCAGGCCCAGGGAATCAAGGAAGACAGTCATTAGAGGCAGCTTGAGCCACCCAGCAGTAGTGAAAAGGGCCAGCTATGGATTCAGACAGAAGTAGAATTGGCAGTTATAAGTTCAGCTTTGGAGAAGAGCAGGGGAAACAGCATGAGAATATCATGAGAAGAGAAAGGACATTGGGGCCCTGCAATGAGGAAGCTTGAGCTGTCTTAACCACTTGTGTTCTTTATGTGTACACCTCATTACCAGTATATTCTGTGTATGTACCTACTCTTCCCACTGATGCTGCATTATTTGTGGGAGATTGAGCCCCACCTTTATGGGGAGGGAATGTTTTATAGCTATTGTTTTTACTTTGCCATCTCAGTAAATGTCCTTTCTTTGAGCTAATTGTGTCTATTGGTTAACTATTAAGGTAAGCACACTTGTGGGACTCATGAACCATAATTTTAGGAATGAAGATTCATAGGATATCTTGAATCCAATAAAACTGCCTCCTTTGAGTCCCAACCTATAACTTGTAACTGCTTAGTCAGGGAGGCATCCCAGAGGTGAGGGGAGTTATCAGGACAGAGAGTGGAGTGTAAAAGAACCTATAGGAAGCAGATAACACCACCAAGGATGAGTATAGAGAATAAAAGGGAAAACGAGAGCCCAGGACAGATACTTAGAAGATGTTCAGGCTTAGAATAGAAGAGATAGGTGGAATGGTTCAGCAAAGAAGCCTTCAGAGTTGCCCAGGATTAGAGACATCCCCAAGATACCTTTGAAATAGTTCACTAGCTGCAGAGATGTCAGACTAAAAGGGGAGGGGGCCATGGTGACATCAGGTCAATATATCCAGACCAACTGGAAGTCAGGAAAAGGAAGAAAAATGAGCAGTTATTACTCAAGAAAGCAGAGGAAATTAAATACAGTTCATGAGAAGGACATAGAGCATGAGCTTTCCCAGATAGTCTTGAGTCCAAGGTAATTTTTTTTCTGGAGCCCTTAGAATCTTCGCATAGCAAATAAGCCATTTTGGCATAGCTCCATATTGGTATAGCCTATTGGTATGATTTAAGCATATCTTGGGTAGATTGTTGAGGTGTGTATTTGATGAATTGCCTTTAATTAAGATAGGCAACATAAATGGTTATTGGTTGACACAAGAAAAGTACCATGTATGTATATAATGGGTATGTGTGTATATGTTTGTATGTTTATACATATATACACATACATATAAACATGTAAATTACTTATATATACATGTACACATACACATATCATATGCACATATATTATGTCACAGTCTATATACATATATGTGTATATCAATATATGTGTATGTGTATACATACATAAAAGTATAAACCTGGTATATATGTGTATAACATACGTGTGTGTGTGTATTTTTTTCTGGTGTTAGCCAACAAGCTAAATACTCTATCTTAAACATTTCAAACCAATTCAACAGATATTTATTAAACTCATTTGTACAAGGTACTTGCTATTCAGTGTGCTGAAGATAAAACACATACACACACAGATAAATACATACACACAAGTACAATCCCTTCTGTTAGGGAACTTAAGAGTTTTCCAGGTGAAGATATAACTTATATGCACAAAACCCTCCCACAATATAAGGTAAAATGCAAGAGACGGAACCCAGAGTTCTCTAGGAAAGTTGGAAGAGTAAACAATTCGCGTTTAGTTTGGGGGAGGAAATCAGTGGTACCTAAGCTAGTCCCTAAAGCAGAGCTTACTAACCTGTTTTGTATCATGGATCCCTTTGGCACTCTGATGAAGCTTAAGGATCCCTTCTTATAATATGGATAATAATGCATAAAATACACAAGATTACAAAAGAAACTAATTATATTAAAATACAGTTATCAATTAAAAACAAGAAGGAGAAGAAGTTCATGGATCTCAGGTTAAGAACCCTGCCCTGAAGGAAATAAGTTATTTTAATAGGCCATGATGCGGAGGGAAAGGACTAGCTTGTGTGACTAGGAAGCAGGAGCAGCGGTGGAAGAAACTAAGCCACACTTAGTGGTCAAGTGTAGCTGGAAAAAAGAGTTTTTGAAGAGGAATCATGTGAAATATAGTTGGAAGAATAGTTTGGACCCAGATTGTGGAGGGCCTTAAACGTCAGGCTAAAGAGTTTGTATTTTATCCTTTTGTAAATAGAGAGTTGTTGAAGGCTTTAAAGAACAAGAAAGAGTGTCATTTGGTCAGAACTGACAACTGGAGGGTCATTCATTTATTCATAATCAACATTTTGTCATCTGTGTGAAGGATGAACTAGAGAGAAGTACATTCACCCCTACTGTGTGCAGAGTGCAGAGTTCATCTTTGAGGGAGATGAAACATGTTGGTAAGATTTAGTTCCTACCTTCATGGACCCCACTAGCTAGTGAATTGTTATTGCTGGAATTCTTAATCCTCAAATTTTTAAAAATCCTCAAAAAATCCCAGCACTTCCATTTTATTCAATAGTTTAAAGTCTTTTTTCAGAAAATTTAATTCAGTCTAACATAATTTAGTCAGCATATGATATATATTGTGTACTGTGCAAAGTTCTGAAGCTACAAAGATGGAAAAGAAAAAGATGAACTAATAAAATAGCAAATAGCACTGATTTGTGTTTCTCCTCTTCTTTCTTCTGTCCTAATTCTGGTAAAAATGCTAATGATTAACAAGATAAACAGTCAGTAGGAGGAAAAGAAAGAAATATAAGAGTTCTGAATAATCAATATAATGATCAGCCTCAAAAAATAGAACTGACCATTTTTTAAAAATAAGCTTATCCATAATATGCTGTATTCATGGATTGTATTGGTTTTAAAGTAATTAACTGAGAGGAATATGCATTTAACTCTTTTTGGTTTTTACCATGTTTGTTTCCAAGAATAATAGGTTTTATTTTCCACTGTGGTAAGAAAAAAATGGAATAGTCAGGAGATCTATGCTCCTAATTGTAATCTCAGACAATTCATTTTGTCTCTCTGGGTCTCAGTATAGTTATACCTTCCGCATCACTGGGTAAGGGGCATTGTGTCCCGAGATTTGGAAAATCTGTGTAAGATTATTCAGCCCTCCCTTTATCCCAGAGAAGAAGTCTGAATTTTTTTTTCTTTTATGGGGCGTTTACAGTGCTTTATTGTAAAATTTGGGTAAAGCATTTCTGAGTTTTTAAATCATCTGTAGCTTCTTCAAAACTCCAAATTCCCATTTACAGTAATTTCTTATGCCGATCAATGATATATCAAAACCACAACGAGGAAAGTCAGGAGGTGGAAGGGATAACTGTATTCTCATCTCTAAAATGAGAGGGTTACCTGGATAATGTCTGAGGTCCCTTGCAGTTTTAGCATGCTAGCACCGGGAAATCCAAAAGCTTCCCTAAGCGTCATCAAAGATAGGAATAGACATGAAATAGAATATGCTCTGAGGAGCAGACATATTGCTCATTTCACTGGATGCTCTTAGGTCTTCCTTGTTGGCTTATTATCTGTCTGAAAGTAATTTGATGAGAGGCTTATGCATTTATGCTATTCAGCTCTCTTCGGACTTTCAACAGAAATAATTTGCAGCACTATTTGGAGGCTGTTTATGATTATGTGCTTCTGATGCTCTTCAGTGAAATGGAATATTGTGAGCATGGAGGGTAGGGACTGTCTTTTGCCTCTTTGCATCCCCACCACTTGGCACAGTGCTTGGCACATAGTAGGTGCTAAATAAATTGATTTTATGAGTTTCTGCTTCATGGTACGGGCCCTTTCTGAGGCCATGCAGTGCTTCCCCTATGATCCACTTGCTGTATATGTCTTCCTGCCTCTCACTACTCTCAGGTCTTTTTGAGAACTACTCTTTGGTTATTCGCAAACACCCTACCCAGGCTCCCTCATTCTAGGTGAAAATTAAATAGACTGGTAGACCTGATGCCCAGCTCCTGATCAGATTTTTAATCTGTCAGAAAGGAGAAATAGATTCACAGATAGATGCACAGCCTATACTTTTCTACCTTTCAAGTACTCCTACACTTTTACTATCGTCCACCCACTCTACGATAAAGCTACACTGGTCTTGAAGTCTCTTCGATCCTGCTCTTCATCTCCACCCTCCAGGCCTTTTCACACTCTCTGTTTCCCTGGCCTAGAATAGATTACTTGCCCTCCCTACCCCACCTCCTGCAGTCTCTGGTTTTCTCCAAGATTCAGCTCAGAACTCACCTTCCGCAATTGACTTTTGCTGGCCTTTCTCGCTTCACTTCCCATGGTCTACGCTCTGACATCACCTCGCGTTTACCTAGAGTCTTGTAAGTATATAGCTGTTTGTATATTGTCCCACTCATTAAAATGTGAGTTCCTTGAGGGCAGAGTTGGTGGATTTGTTCTACCTATCCATCTATCATCTATCTATTCATTTATTATGTATTTATTTATTCGCTCATTTGTTTTAAACGTATTGCCTTGTATTCCCAGTGCTTAGCACAGTCCCTGGTACATAGTAAACACTTAATAAATGCTTGTTGATCGACTGAAACTGACTGTGTAATTGATCTCTAACAGAGCTGTCCCTCCAGCTCCTGCGATCTTGGAATCCCCTCCGCGCTGGTGCGCCCTGGAATGCGCCCCAAGTTTCTAGTTTCTTATAAACGTCTGCCCGTTCGAGTTCTTACTTACAAAAGAAAGCAGGGCCCCCAACCCTGCTGCGGGTCCACAACTCCCGACGGGACTTTGTGACGCTTTTTATTGTAGCAACAGTTCCTGGTAGCTTGCCCGAAATCCCCAGCTCCTTCCTCTACTGAGCCTATAAAAGAAGAGCGGCTGGAGGTGTGCAGGTCCCCGGCTGCAGGGTGCTGGGGCTAGTGCGGTAGGGGAGAGGGGGGACACAAGAGCGAGAGGACAAGGAGGCCAAAGCGAGAAACGGGAGTGATGGGGTGCGGGGCTTCTAAGCCTTTGGAAGAGCAGCGACCAGTCCCGGAGCCTAAGAAAGGCTGGGAGGAAGGGAACGAGGTAAAAAAAAAAATAGACTTCTTGCAAGCCGTTTCACTCTGTAGGAGCCATTGCGACCCTCTCCCACCCTCAGTCCCGTTTGGCGGAGTGGGAGGGGACTTCAGCCTCTACAGACTGCTGGGAGCTTAAACTGAGCCAGTGGACATCGGTGATTACCACCCCTTGCAGCTGTTGAACAGCTGGAGGAGGGCACCTACGGAAGGGAGGGAAGGCATCTCACTTTGAATGAGCAGGTTTGGCACGGATGCCATCCAGCTTATTAAGGTTAACTGTCTGGTAATTTAATGAGCTCCAGACAGAGCAAGCAGGGGAGGTCGAACCAAAGGACCGAGACAGGAAAAACTGACTGCTGAACTGTGGGTCCTGCATATAGCTGGGCTGAGCGGCAATCTCTCAATAGGCAGGTAGGGAGTTTCCCGGAAAAAGGAAGAGCCGAGCTCTCAGAGAGCTGCTACCTGCAGGCTTACAGTATTAAAGGTAACTGCAGCTTCACAAAATACCGTTTTCTCCACAGAAATCGCTCTAGATCATAGGGGCATCGATGTAGAGTTGGGATGGGCCCCGCAGGGCATCTAGTCCAACCTTCTTATTTTACAGGTGAGTAAACTGAGGTCCTGGGAGGTTGTGACTTGCCCCAACTCACACAGGTGGGTAAGCCTCAGGGGTAGGATTTGAACTTCAGACTCCTTGCTTACTCCATTATACAAAAGATATGTAAATTGGGATGGCCTAGGGAGTGGTGGAGAGAGAATGTGGTAGAAATGTCAAAAGCCACTATCTTTACCGGCCCTCCCCCAATACCAGATTCACACTCTCAGAACCCCTTTGAGTTTGCTAGAGAATGATCACAGGGCTAGCCTTAGCTAAAATTCTGTAGTAGAGGAAATTAATCTTCATTCCTCTTCTTGGGTAGTGAAAGATCACTGGGTGGTGTTAGAAGATCTACAGTAGTTTCAAATCCCAGCTTTGCTACTGACCTCCTATAATCTGGAACAAATTCACTGTAGTTGTCTGGGCCTCATTTTCATCAGTAAAATGAAGTAGTTCAGCTAAAGAATTTCTGGTATCCCATACAATTTCAAATTGATGATCCTATAATCTTCTCATCCTTTTCCAAGATACCCTTCTTCCCCACCAGGCATCTAGTTGTACTGGAAAAACTCTGAGTGCCCTTCCAACTCTGAGTTTGTCATTTGGCTCAAGGTTCTTTACCCTGAGGTGAATATTGGGCCTGCTCTCTTCTACCCTATCCTTAAGCTCTTACATGATTCTTTGTACCAATGTATTCCTGACCTGAGGTCTCTTTCACTTATAATCCTGCTAAATAACTGAACCTAATCTGAATAAACTAATTTGAGCTGAAGCATTGATGGCTGACAATGTATTTTACTCTTTGAAAGTTGACATCTATATCTTAAAGTGTCCTATAACTGGCCTTAGGTGAGAAAGTAATAGGGTTAAGTTGAAGAACTGTAATGTGACCAATGAGGGAGTTATTTTTGGCAAGAGTGTGTTTTGGTGTCTGTCCAATATATCCATGCAGGCAGCAGGTAGTAGGCAGGAACCCAGGCTTTAGCAGAAATCACAAAATGGGCACCCATGATACCCAGCTTTGCCTCCTTTAAAGGTAAATGTCAAAGGCAAACGCTAAGTGGATTAAAAATATGTGTTACACATTGGGCAGACTCAGATTCATAGTTGACAGTTTGTTGTCCCCACCTTTTCTCTATGACATAGGTTCAGGGCTTAGTTTGAAGTCTAAGTGAGCCTTATGTGTACTGATATTTTTTGAGAGTGGCTCTCACTCCCCAGGAAATAAAAAAATTGAAGTGGAAAAGACTAGTCTTAATGGGTTCTATAGAAATTAATTTTAATTCCCTCATTTTAAAAATGCATACATAGAACACTTTTCAGTTAAAGAGGTGGTAACAGCACAAATAGCCAAAATGTGTCAATATTTCAAAAAAAAAACAAAGAATCTTTATAATAAATTCTGGAGCAGCTAGGTAGCACAGTAGAGAGCCAAGTCTGGAAGTCATGAAGACCTCAGTTCAAATCTAGCATCAGATACTTATTACCTGTGTGATCCTGGGCAAGTCATCTAACCCTGTTTGCCTCAGTTTCCTCATCTGTAAAATAGAAGGAAATGGTAAACTGCTCTAGTATCTTTGTCAAGGAAACCCCAAATGGGGTCACAAAGAGTCAGAGCACTACTGAAAATAACTGATCAGCAAAACTATAATAGAGCCTAATTCATATTTTGCCAAACTCTGTGCAGGATGACTATTAGCAGCCTAGCTTGACTATTAGTAGACTCCCCTTCCTGTGTCTTCCTCTTCTGTAGCTCTTGATGTTTTCCATCCTCTGTATGATAATGTTCTGGTAGAGAATACCTGGTACCTTGATGAAGGGCAAAAACAAATTGATACAAGAGAAACTTTAAAAATTTTGCATAGCATTATTACATTCTTATTGTATAAAAAGTACAATATTAGGCATTGGGAATAAAAAGAGAAAAACATGACAGCCCCTGTTGTGAAAGCCCCTATCCTTTTATATTCTTCTGGGAGAATGCAACATTAACAGATGACAATTTGAGGAGGACATAGTGAGTACTAACAACAAAGGAAGCCCAGGAAGACTTCCTATAGGAGATGGTACTTAGCTGAGTCTTAAAGGGAGGTAGGGATTCTCTGAGGCAGAGGGCAAGAGGGGAGATAGGCTCTGTGAAGTGGTGGAAGATGGAATACTAGGTTTGGGGTATAATAAATAGGTCACTTAGAGCATACAAATGGAAATTATTTGTAATTAGCTTGGAAAGGTAGGCTGAAGCCCTACTGTGAAGGGCTCTAAATGTCAAGCTGAGAAGTTTGTATTTTTATTACAGAGGCAAGAGGGAGTCATGTTAGTTTCTGGAGTAGGGGAATAACATTGGCAGATTTGTGCCTTAGGAAAATTATTTTGGTAGCTTTTGTGGAAGATGGATTGGAGAAGGGAGAAGCTGGAAGCCAGGAATCTAATGAGATATAAGGGCCTGAAATAACGAATACAGCAATAACCAAATTTTAATTTTTAAATGCCCTGACAATTCACTTCTATATTCTAGTCTATTCTATGTTCTCCAGAGGTGGGGAGCCTGTGGCCTCGAGGCTACATGTAGCCCTCTAGGTCCCCAAGTATGGCCCTTTGAGTGAATCCAAACTTCACAGAACAAATCCCCTTAATAAAAGGATTTGTTCTGTGAAATTTGGATTCAGTCAAAGGACTGCACTTGAGTGCATATATATAATGCACATGTATATGTATATGAATATATATGTGCATATATACATATGTATATATGAATGTGTGTATACATGTATATGTATATATACATATATGTACATATACATATATATGTATATATACATGTATATATACATATATACTTTTTTTTTTGGATGAGGGGGTTAAGAGGTGCAGAAGGGCAAACACTCAAATCTGAGATCTTGTTTCAGGAGAGGCCTCATTAGTATGCCAGTACAGTTCTGCCATACCTCAGTTGCCTACATAAATGCACAGACCCCAGAGAAGCACACTTATTAGAAATTCAGCATTTCAACTGTGCCTTAAAAATGAGTCAATATGAACATATTGTCTCGCATGAAGTATCTTTTTTTTAACTGTACAACTTTAAAATATTCTGAATAAGACTTAGTAAGACCTGTTTATATGCTTTCTCTTCACTCTTGCCTAAGTCTGAAGTGATGAGAAGGAATTGTAATAGAATAATGTATGATGTGCAGTAAAGCATCTAAAACTCTTCTCAGTGGGAGAATTGTACTTTTCCTGCATACATAATTCAGAGGTTACCTAATAAATTTTCTGAACATTGATAAGAATAACCTTTGGTGTTGGAAGGGGGTGGACTAAATTACTTTTAAATATCTATTTCTGCCTCATTTCTGGATGAATTTATGAACCTATATCTTTCTACTTACTAAAATTAAACTATTTTTAAAATCAAGTTTTGAAGCAAAATTTACCCACTCTTGTACTTATAGGTGTATTTTTGCATCTATTATTAAATCCATCTACAAACCACCTTATGGTTATTTGATTTGGTGGTACGAATCAGCTCCCTCAGGCTTTAGGAAATAGATTCCTCTAGGCTGCATGGAAGAAAACTCTTGCTTCTCCAAAGACCTAGATGTTTAGAAAGCAATTTCAGATTTCCCATAATACGGTTTTAGGTTCCACATGCCAACTCTAACTAAATACCCAGTAACTTAAAAGTCATAACTTTTCAATATCACAACTGGTGATAAAAGCATCCTATCTGAAGAAAGATATGTATGACAATAAATTAAGGCAAAGTGTTCCTATAGTTTCACTGACACCTGCCTCCACCCCCTCCCTTTCATCCAAGGTAATAATAGCATGAATTAGGATTCATACCTATGAAATTCCAAATACATTATTCTTTTCTAAGAAAGATAAGTAAAGCCAAATGGAAATAAGATATGAAAAAAAAGTTCTCTATATTCCTTAGCACAAAAACTTGTACTTTTTTTCTACTCCTACCAAAAATTTTCATTACCTAGAATGCAGATAAACTGATTATTGGGATGAAAATGTAAATTCTTTGCATATATACACATATGTATACATATACCTATATTTTGTATGTATATGCATATCTGTAACTGTTCATGGATATGCATATACAGATACATCTGTGTATGTGTGTGTGTGTGTGTGTGTGTGTGTGTGTGTGTGTGTGTGTGTATATATATATCTGTGTATACATATGCATGCATACATGCACACATGGTTCCCCAATCTCAGCCAGTAAGAAGTATAGTGGTCAGTTACAGGTCTGATCCCATTATCAGCCCAGGAACTTTGACCTGCTCCATTTTTCAAACTTGGGTGATTTACCCCTCCATAGACAGTCTCATGGTCCTTTACTCCTAGGGGCTTACCTTATTGGTGTCATACTTAGTATAAAAACCCAATCA